ATGAAAGAAACCCAGCCCATTAGACAAATGATCTCTAAAATATAACACCTATTTTATTCTAATCCTTATATCTTTAATATGTATCACTTGGATACCTGAACTTCACACATTAATTTAATGTGGTCTTTAATGTGGCATCTATCGTAACTGCAATCTAAAAATTTGAAGGGTGTTGAGAGAAATTTATCTCATTTCTTTTCTAAATGAATCGTGAGTAGGAGTGTGCGCGGTGTAATTCGGACAATTTGAGAGTAAAATTATAAATTGAATGGCGAGATTGTCAAATCGTGGTTTGGGCGGTTTTGGACAAATTGATGGATTGATAAATATTCTAACCAACTATCAAGTATTTACATAATATATTACACTAATTTGTATAATATTTTTCATATATATAACACAAATTAATTTTACATAATTTTTTTCATATATATAACTACTGATTTGTAATAAATTTCATATCTTAAATTCCTCTCACACTCATTAATTTTACATAATATATTCTAACCAACTATCAAGTATTTGCATAATATATTACACTAATTTATATAATATTTTTCATATATATAACACAAATTAATTTTACATAGTTTTTTTCATATATATAACTACTAATTTGTAATAAATTTCATACATTATTTTCCTCTCACACTCATTTTTACTTTGATATTTCATTAGAGGTTAAATATATATGTATATATTAACTATAATGGAGTGAAGCTGTTTCAAAGGCGGATTAATAACTTTAAAATTTAATCCGCGATTAGAGAATAAAATAGTGCAGATTGATAGGAATCAATACAATTCTAACAGATTGAATGATATTTTGCGTAATCCTAATCATGAGGCAATTGAAATCTATATCCAAAACCTTTTACTCCATTATTGATAGTCAAATATATAGTGTGTTTGGTTATTTGATATATATATATATATATTACAAGAATAGACGTGTTACATATTGTTAATGTCTTTTAATACCTGATGTAAGGCTGACATAATCATTTTTATATGTATTAGACGACAATCAGGAAAAGATATTACGGGTTGGTTTGGGAAGTGGGTTGGCTTTTTGGCCTTTTGGCTTTTTTGGCTATTTTAGCCTGGGTTAAAAAGCTTGGTTTGGGAAGGGCTTTTTGGCTTTTTGACTTTTTTAGCTTTTTTTGTGAGAGAAGAGTGTAATGATTATGGGTTGGATGCGATATTTTATTTTTTGTGGCTAAAATAGCCTATTTTGTTTTTTGTGGCTAAAATAGCCAAAAAAACATTTGATATATATATATATATATTACAAGAATAGACGTGTTACATATTGTTAATGTCTTTTAATACCTGATGTAAGGCTGACATAATCATTTTTATATGTATTAGACGACAATCAGGAAAAGATATTACATTAAATTAGTGTGTGAAGTTCAGAAATGTAATTTATATAAAATAACGATTTAAGACCAAAAATTACTTTAGAGACCATTTGTATAATTTATACAATTTACCTAGGCATATAATTTTGGCCCATCCCATCTGGGCCTGGCCGGCCCCCCCTTCAAGCCTTTCGGACTCTCATAAAAAATCAAATGAGGCTGGGCCGGCCCATTTGTACAAAATCTCGACCCAAGCCCAAGCCTTAAAGAAATCCAGGCCTCCTCAGGAGTGGGGTCAAGCCGGATCGGGCTAATTTTTTTTTAAAGAGTAAAAAATTACAATAAATATATCAAAAAAAAGGGTATAAGATTTAAATAATGCATTATTTAAAAATAAAATAAACCATTACAAATTGTATAGGAGAGAAATTGCACACTAAAGAAATTACAACAAATAACTTTTATTCATTGATGTAGATTATTGATAGTAGAAAAATTGCATCACTATTAGTCAAGTACATCCCAATTAGGTTGACACCTACTAACTTATCAATCATTTGCGTTATACTTCACCTCAACAATCTAATAAAAACGTTTTGAAATTAAATAGTGAAAAAAAAATTCTTCATCAACCATCAGAGGAGTTGGACCATTCATCTAGAGTACCCAATGATATGTTATCCAAATCATCTTGAATTCTCTCATTTTTAATACAGTCTTGTCTTCTTGTGCTTGTATAAAAATGATCCCTCGTTATCATAAGTGCCTCAGCCATATCAGGTGCACGTCATGGTAATCACTTAACACTCATCCACCTATACTAAAAGCTTATTCAGAAGCCACTGTAGAAATATGAACGGTTAGTATATCATGGATCATCTATGCAAGCATAGGCCATGTATTTTTATTTTGTTTTTACCAATCTAAAATATTAAAACCGTCATCATCATCAACAAGTGTATTATCCAAATAATGTTATAATTCAAAACTACTCACGCTCGCATTTTGAAACATTCTTCTAGTTTTTATTGTTGAAATATATTTAATCTTCCACTTCAAGATAATGTTGGTGTAGTGTGTGTGTAGGTGGTCTATTTACAACTACATCTTTATATTCTTGAAATAATTTATGCAGTATTTCAATAATAGAATCAAATTGTTTTTATCACTGAAAATAAGTTGTAAAAAAAAATTTAAACTATTTTTTTTGCACCTAAGATTAACTACGATGGCTAAACCTAAAAGATGAGACAATTGATTAAAATACTTATTAAATTTTTTCGTATAATGGTGTATAATATTCAATAGATATATATTTAAGAAAACTATCATTATATCTATTAAAATATGTAAAATAAATGGTGAAATAAGTATATATGTATATATATAAGAAAATAATTTTGTTACCCAAACAAATTGTTTTAGAAATTTTTTATATAAGCCTATGTGGAGCCAATCATGCTCCGTGGGTTTCAGTACTCTTGCTATTATATTTGTTTCAAAAAAACAAATCTACTATTTTTCTTTGTTTTAAAACTACCTTTAACATATTATATGTCGAATTCCATCATGTGTCAATGACTAAAGGTAATTTTCTAGATTTCATACTTTCTTGTTGACAAAATTTTTTATATGCAAAAATTCGATGAGAATAACTATTAATAGTAAAAATCGCTTATTTTATTATCATTAAAAAATCCTCATGTATTTATAACTTCTTTAACAATCAAGTTTAAAATATGAGTACAACAACGAACATGAAATAAATCACCACTGAGAGGTAATTGTAAAGTTGATATAAGATGCGCTATAGTCTTATTGTAATATGCTGCATTATCTAAATTAATTGTAAATATTTTATTTTGCAAAGCATACTTAGATAATACATTTCTTATTTCTATCCCAAGTTGTTTATCAGTATATGGAAGTTCAACTAATTTAAATAAAATTATACTTTTATTTAATTTTCAAGCATTATTAATATAATGTGCAGTGATGCATTGATATTTTAAACCTTTATTTGACTTCCACAAATCAGATGTTAACCAAACTCTTCCATTCAAATATTTAAAAAATTTTAAAAATTCAATTTTAATATCATGAAATTTCTTAATATACTATTTATAATAGTATTTCTTAAAAAACTTTGAAATTGAGATACAAAACCTCCTTGAATCATTTCAACAAAATTGGAACATTCACTAACTAGCAGTAAAAGGTCGTTCTTTTTTAGCAATATAATTAACTACCATATCTTGTACACATACAAGATCATATGAAAAGGTAGACAAATTAACAATTGATGAAGTCCCAAATTGCTTTTGACTTCTAATATCAAGTTGTTGATTTCCTAAATACCTTTGAGCATGCCTTTCTAAATGACTAATACCACGCACAACTAAGTAAATTTGCACAATAATTACATTTTGCTTTAGTTACAATTGTCCCATCAAGATTAGTTACCGATACTCTTTCAAAATGCTCACAAATACTAGACTAACCCCTAGATGATGATGATGCTGTTACAGTAGGGTTAGAAGGATTAGCAATAGAATCAACTGATTCATGTCAAATATCGACAAAAACATTAAGATCCATATTAATACAAGTAAAATAATATATATTAACTAACAATTAATTAAAATAATGAGTAACTAATAAATCAACAATAACAAATAATATATGTTAACAACAATTAATATAAAAAATTGAGTAACTAATAAATATTAATTTAAACAATTAATATTACCGAATGACGAATGCGATATAAAAATGAACTTATTTTGATAAAAATTTCTTCTTGCACAATTACAATAACCACTTGGAAATGAGGCTTGAAAGTTGATTGCGATGAGAGAGTTGAGAGTTAAGAGATTTGTTCGCGAAAAAACTGAAATGAGAGGTTATTTATAGTAAAAAGTTGGAGTGGCCAAATGTTAAAAAAAATAAATAAAATAAAATATAAAAAAAAAAAATTGACCATTGCCGTTTAATTGTTTTTTCCCTTTTTTTTTTTTTTTTGGACCATTGCTGCCTTGGGGAGGGGTGTGTGCAGGTCGGGCTAGAAAAGACCAATTTCGGACAGTTGCGCTGGGCTGTTGGGCCAGATTGGGTCAGGCTTGCAGGTCAGGCTTGGGCCATAGACACACAGCCCAAGCCCTAGCTCAGAGTATCGGGCTGGGCCAGGCTCCAATACCGGTTGGGCCGCGGGCAGGCTGTTGGGCCCTCAGGCTGTTTTTACACCTAAATTTACCCAACTTTCTGCTATTAACTCACCACCATTTCCCTTATTTGAAGGGCACATGCTAGTATGATCATCTGAAAAGCTAAGCAAAGTCTAAAATGCTCAAATTCAGAAACATACATCCATATATGGGATACCATCTATTTAGTTTAATCTCAATGCAGTCGAATGAAAAAGGTATTCACAACAAAGCCATAAATATCAACAATACTTGGACCCCTATTTAAGCAACAAGACTGGTAAGATATTCAAAATAGAGTATATTATTAATCAAACAACAAAAATAAAGTATCAAATCTATTGCAGAATCACCAAGAACATTGCTCATGGTCTTTTGGAGGTACAACCAATAAAAATAATAATGGTAGTAGTTGTTTCATGGAAATCAATACACATTCTCAAAAGAAAAAATGAAGTTAACTTTCCATTAAAAACTAAAACATCATAAGCATTGTTGCTGGAAAGCTTTCTCAGGTGCCTTCCCATCAATTTCTGAGTGATGAGGGAAATCATATGGCATTTCTGGAGCAGAAAGCCCTGCCTCATTAAAAACTCTTACGACTTCTTGGTGGACAACTGCATTGCCTTCTGGTGTCAGGTGCAACCCATCACTGTAAACAACACAATGGGAAATATTAGAACACACTTGTGTTAGCAAACATCAAGTTCAACCCTGGTAAACTAAAAAAACATCGGTGACAACTAGGATATTCATGCTAACGGTTATAAATTCATTTCCTTTCTTTGATAGTAATTGAAGTACATCAAGATTTAGCATTTGTTTCCAGAAACCAAATGCCATGACCTTTAAAGGCTCTAATTGGATATTGTCCAGCATTTATTTTCAAGAAAATATGGGCACATCTGTAATTCAGCTCACATTTGTGTCTCACAGGTAAGCCCAAACAAACAAGGAACATATCAACTCAATCAGAACAATGTAGCAGTAGTTTAAAGCTACCAGCCCCTTTAAAGTGAGATCTGCTGTCACGGTATGTACCTCAGTTGCACAAAGCAGGGACAGGAGAGCATAGAAGTTTCTAAGGTTGGGAGCACTTATGGCAGCATGTATATATTTTATAAATTAAATATATAAATATAATCTAACCATTATTTGTTTTTCTGCTTAGTTGCAATGTGTTTAAATATGAATTATTATTGGAGTTTAATGTCAACTACAAATTGTCTTTGTTAAGTATGAATAAATATTATGTAAACAGAAAGTATTAGAATAAGTTTGAATTGTTTTTCTTTTGTTTATTTGAGAGTGTGGAAACACATTTCCACGTAAGAAACGTCACCCAAGTAGGTAATAATTCAGGGCAGTACTCTGTGGCCTGTGTGTGGAAGTGGTGGGTAGAATCAAAAGGACCAAGTCTGAAATTACCTAAAGGGTTGTGGGAAAATATAACTCCCCCAAAAGTGCAATTTTTCGGTTGGTTAGCTTGGAGAGGCAGAGTTAAAACTTCAGTCTTCCTTCAAAGGATTGGGGTATTAGATGCCACTGCCAACACTTTGTGTGTATTCTGCAAATCAGAGGTGGAATCAGTACACCATGTGCTAATGCTTTGTCCACTGGTTTGGAAGCTGTGGTAAAAAATGATAAGTTGGTGGGACCAATCCTGGGCAATTCCTCGATTAATCGAGGACCTACGTCATTGGTGGTCAGGTGGCAAATTGAAAAGTTGGTTGTTCAAAATGTGGAGGATAGTACCTTTAGTTGTGCTGTCGTCTGTTTGAAAAATGAGAAATGATTGTCTTTTTAATGGGGTCCAACCCAATTTTGAAGTATTAGGTGAAAAGGTGATGTTGCAGATTGCTTTTTTGGTTATAGTGCACATGGAGGTGGATTATTCAACTCATGACATTGTCTCCAATCTCCATCAGATTAGATTTTCTATTTGAGGGTGCAGGCTAGTATTTCAGTGGCCTTTGTTTGCCTTTGGCTGCTTGTTGGTTTCTCACCAACCCCTATGGTTAGTGCTAGCAATTGATAGGATCCCTTTCTCGGTGTCAACTTAGTTGGGATTGAGTTTGTGTTCTGTCATGCTTTTGCACTAATTTCCCCTTTATTGATGTATTTCCATACTTTGTATGTTCTTTCCATCAATAAAGTTTTCTTTTAGCTGATCAAAAAAGGTATGTGCACGATATGTGTAACCAATGCAGTTATGCAGCATTGGTATCAATACACAGCAAGTTATAAAAAACCTCCAAATATTCACTGACCTGAGGAACTTCTTTTGCCAACCCTCTGTTTCCTGCATTTTCAACCATAGATTGATGGAAGGGAGACCTAGTTCCTTGGCCAATTCAACACACTGCTTGGCATAAACTCCTGTCATTTCATTTGTCCTTTCTGGAAGTTCCATTGCTCTCTCGCCATATAAAGATCTGCTCAGCCGAATTAAACTTATTACCATAATAATGTATACTGGTTTTAATAAATAATCACATACTGAACTTAATGCATGACCTAGGCTACAGGATGGGTTACCCAATCCACTAGCAGCCATTGTTGTTAAGAAGGACGAGAATCCTTCATGACCATGTGCAACAATTGGGGAATCAAGTCCCCTCCAAGGTAAGTAGATTTCCTCATAGTAAAACAACATTGCATCTCAAATAAACTTTTTAACTTTATTATTATTATTTTGTAACACAAAGTGTAGTATTTTGTTCAAAATTTTATGAGCAATACTACAATCCCAGACATAAAAACCCAGAAAATACCCAGAATTTTGTATCAATGGTTTAGATTTACTTAAGGTATGGGCCCCTATGTTACATGGACTCGGGTACGGGTGTCGGGTGCGGGTATGTATCTAGAGGTCGGACTCATCAAATCATAAATTTAAGGATATGCGGACTCGGCAAAAAAATGTCATATTTTTATATTTTTAATCTAATATGTGAGATAAAATGGTATTATATTTAACTTATAGTGTCAAAATGACATTTATAGCAATTATATAACAATATATACATATAATAATAGTGTTATATACAATTATATATGAAGTATCCGTTGAAAAGTATCCGACACATATCCCATACCCTTGTCCGAGTGTCGGGTGTCCGACACGGGTATTTGATTTAATTTGAAGAGTCCATGTAACATAGATGGGCCCACAACACCAACTTTAAATATCAACCATTGAATTGATGTTCCTTTTTTTCTTTTTTCTGGTTCCCTTTCTGGGACCATAGAATTACAGAAATATTATTCCATCTCCAGTTCTCCCTTCTGTCATAATCAAATATGAAATTAGGAGGTACCGTGAGTATGTAAAACGTCCTTCTTCATCAATGGGTGGTGGAGTAATAAGCACTACTAGCATAGCGGGAGAGCATTCCGGCAGTCAACATCCAAGAAAGAGTGAGCTATTAATTAGAAATTAAAAAGGTATATACACAATAGATAGTGAAAAGACTCTTGAGGGAAGAATGCAAAAATAGGAAGTGCAGGTCCTAAACTTATAATTTGGAATAAGAATTTTATGAAAAGAGTATACAATGTGTTAACATGAGTAAGAACCATGAGTGAGGAATACTTAAATCAAAGGAAAACAAGATTTGACCTGCAAGGTGATAACATGTTTACTAATCTAAAAAAAAAATTGGCAATATTAAAAAGGCAAAAGTGCCATATTCCAAATATATTCAACAATGACATCGAGAAATATGATTAAGCAAACTAAAGCAATTATTTTTCAGAAAATTTGCTACATATGCTGCATGACTCCATCAACAATTTACCCTATGAACAATTCAACTACACAAAAAGATCAATATTTGCTCTTTACAATAAGCAGTGACTTCACCTCATCAAACAACCTATGCCTTCTCTCCACCACAACAAACATAACAGCATTGTGTCCCATAACGTTATTCTTTTTCTAGACAGCACATAGATAGACATTGGACATTGATACTACACTACATGGACCCACTGATCCACCTCGTTATGACCAACCAGTTCTAGATAGCAGGCTTTCGGGTCACCCTAACTTAGAGGCAGTCCATCTAATCCTGCCCTCCCTTCCCCCCACCATATTCCACATATAAAAACTTTTTGTATTGATAAATATGTGAGAATAATATTAGTATATATTATTATGTGAATATTTTAGATTGATTATATTGTGTTAGATTGTGTGAATATTTTAATTTAGTTTTATTCTTGTTTCTTATTTAGGATTAGGCCTAGAATTGCTATATATATTAGATGTACACATTGTATTGATACACAATTGAATATATAGAAAACATTCAAAAATCTTACATGGTAGAGCTATCGTTCATTCTTGCTTCTAATTGATCGCAGTTCCATCTTTGTTCAAAGTTTCATCTAGTTCAGAATCAGCCTTCATTGAAATCCCAACCCCTTGAGCACTAGAATCGCGACCCATTCCACCTGGTTCAGAACTCCTCTAATTCGCTATTGTCCAATCTCCTCTAGTTCGTCGGACTCAACTTCTGGCTCATGAGGTTGATTTTTGGTTCTGGTTTGACTCTGTCTCTGGACTCAATCGAGTTCTCTGGTCAACATCAAGTCCAACCTTTGCTTCGATAGGATCGTGTGACCCATCTGCTTAATCGTCTCTGTTTCTCTGGTTGTCAACCCATCTGTGTTCATCTTGACCCATATGAGTTCGAAGTAGTGACCCATCAATCGCAACCAATCTGAGCTCGAGTCATGGCCCATCGATCATGAGCATCTGATTCACGAAAATCCCGGTTGTCTCACGATCTCGCTATCTCTCTTCACGAGGTCTGCTCTCTCTCTCTCTCTCTTGTTCGACTAGTTCGTCGGGTCATTTGGTTTGTCGGGTTATCTGATCTTGATTTGGTTACTTTAGTCTATTTTGGGTTTACTAGAACCCCTCAAATTTTGGTTATTACCCTTTGACCCCTAGTTTGGTTATTTTGTTCTATTTAGGATTTATTACACTAGAACCCCTCAGTATTCTGGTTATTACAATGTCTCCAGCTACTGATGAGTGTGCCTTCTACCATCAAAGGGGCTATTGGAAGTACCACTACCCCAAGAAAGGACGATCATTTGCTCCGCAGTTTCAGCCATACTTCCAAGCTCCCATTCAAAGTACTTTTCAGACTCCAGCCGTTTATACTGCATTTGCTCCGTTTCCTAATCCTGACTTGGCTTTATTGAGTGCTCATATTGGTCGTTAGCTTCAGCATATACTGTCTATCTCCCAGCCCTCCCTATCCGCCTCCATTGTTTCCTCTCTTCATTCAGGTTTGCTTGAGTCTTCTTCAGGTATCTCTGTTTGTCTAGCTTTTTGACTCCGATGCGTCTCATCATATGGACTTATCATCTCTTTTTATTTCAAAATTGTACCCCCTTCCCTTTCCTATTACTGTTAATGCTACTAATGAGTCTGATATGTCTGTCATATCTGTTGGGTCTGTCCTACCGTCTGCTATGTCTGTTGTCTCTATTCCATCTTTCTTATATGTTCCTCAATTATCTGCCAGTTTATTATCTATCAATCAGCTTGATGCCTCCAATTTTGATGTTATCTTTTCTTCTTCTATCTGTTCTATGCAGGATCGAATGTCCAAGCAACAGATTAAAACTGGCCGTAGAGTTAGAGACCTCTATGTGGGTAGAGAGCTTGCATCTGCTTATGACTACCTTTCCAACTGCCTTTTCCTCTTTTCAATTAGATTCTTTGTCAAGTCCTTTTTATTTGTAGCATTCTAAATTAGGGCATTTGTTTACTAACCACTTACGATCTTTAGCTCAAACAGGCATATTAGATAAAGGTTCTCCCAATCAACTTACCGAGTGTCGGGGGTGTAAATTTGCAAAAATGACAACCTTAACTTTTTGTAAAAGTACTTCTATATCTAATACATTGTTTTCTTTAGTTCATACTAATGTCTAGGGTCCTTCTCCTATTCTCACCAAAAGGGATTTTGCATATTATGTTTCATTTGTTAATGACTGCACCCGTTACACTTGGGTTTATCTTATAACTCATAAGCCTGACTTCTACCAGATATACTGTACTTTTCAGTTTATGGTCACTACACAATTTTGGTCTACTATTAAATTGTTACGGTCTAACTTGGATGGGAAATATTTTAAAACTGAGTTCTGTGAGTATTTGGCCAATTTGAGTACCGTTCATCAAACTTTTTGTACTGATACACTTGCCCAAAATGGTCAAGCTGAGCGTAAGCACCATCATCTCCTTGAGACAGGTAGGTCTCTTCTCTTTGCCTCTGTTCCGGCTCCTTTTTGGGATGAGCATCAAACTTTCTGTACTGATACACTTGCCCAAAATGGTCGAGCTGAGCGTTTCCTTGAGACAAGTAGGTCTCTCCTTCTCTCTGTCTCTATTCCGGCTTTGTTTTAAGGTGAGGTAGTTCTTACTACTGCTTTTCTTCTCAACCATATGCCTACTCCCCTTTTATCTGGTTGGTCTCCTCATGAAGCTCTGATTTCTCAACTTCCCAATTACTCCCTTCTTTATGTGTTTGGATCTACTTGTTTTGTCCCTTTACCCCGTAAACATAAGACAAAACTTAGTGCCCGATCTATCATGTGTGTCCTTTTGGGTTACAGTCTCACTCAGAAAGATTATCGCTATTATGATCCTATTTCCTGTCGCCTTTATGCCTCTCACCATGTTGCCTTTCTTGAACGTCTACCTTACTTTCAGCTTCTTCCTCTTGCAGCCCTAGTTTCCAAAGAGGATTTGGTTCATATTGATCTATTTCCTTCTGAGGTCCCTCCTAATGAGTACATCCCTGTTGTTCCCAATGAGCTTGTTTCCTCTTCTCCTCGTACTACCTCTCCTGATGAGTCCCTCTCCACCGACACCCATGAGTATGTTCCCTCTTCTCCTCTTCCTCCTCCGTTGTTAGTCTATTCTCGTTGCAAGGCTCTCGCTTCACCGGTTGCCCCTGCCCTTGCTGCTAATCCTCCTGCTTCTGACGACTTTGACCTTGCTAACCATAAGTATCCCCTTCGCATCCGTAAATAGGTAGTCAAATTTGGTTTTGCTAAAATATGTTTTTCTCCTTCATAATGATATTTACTATTTTTAGAATCTCAGTCTTACAAGGAGGCCTGTCAGGATCCTCATTGGATTCGAGCTATGGAAAAAATTAGTACTTGAGAGTTGGTTCCTTTGCCTGTTGGTAAGAATCGGGTTGGTTGCAAATGAGTCTACAAAGTCAAGACTCATTCTGATGGTTCTCTTGAGCGCTACACAGCTCACCTAGTTGCCAAAGGTTTCTCACAGAAGTATGGTGTTGATTATGAGGAGACCTTTGCCCTTATTGCCAAGAAGACTATTGTCCATACTTTGATCTCTATTGCTGCTATTCGTCATTGGCTTCTTTATCAAATGGATGTTAAAAATACTTTTCTTAATGGCCATCTCACTGAGGAGGTTTACATCCATCCTTTCCCTAGCCGTCACCATTCCTCTAGATAGGTTTGTCGTCTTTGGCGTGCTTTGTATGGTTTGAAGCAATCTCCTCGTGCTTGGTATGATCACTTTCAGACTGCTGTTACTGAGCTTATGTTTCATCCTTGTGCCCAGGACTCTGCTTTGTTTCTTCTCTACACCTCTACTGGATTTGTTGCCTTATTACTGTACGTGGATGATATGATTATCACTGGTTCTAACTCTTCTACTATCTCTGAGGTCAAGCAGCATCTCTACTGATGGTGTCCCTAATCTTACCTGTGTTGTTCATGTGGTTTGCTAGTTCGTTCTACTCCTCAATCTACACATTGGGCTGCTTTGATTTGGATTAGTTGCTATCTTTTTGGTACTATCTTCTAGGCCTTGCTATTGTCTTCTACTTCTTCCTTGGATTTGGTGGCCTATACTGATGCTGATTGGGATAGTGATGTTAATGATCATAAATCCATTTCTGGTTTCTGTATATTTTTTGACGATTCCTTGATTTCTTGGAAAAACAAGAAACAAATTGTTATTATTTTTTGACGATTCCTTGATTTCTTGGAAAAACAAGAAACAAATTGTTATTCCCGTTCTAATGCCAAAACTGAGTACCGTGCTATGGCTCATGCTACTGTTGAAGTTGTCTGGCTTCGTTGTCTGGCTTCGTTGTCTCCTATTTGACTTGGGCATCCCTCAGTCCTCTCTGACCACTCTATTGTGACAACTGAAGTGCTATTCAGATTGCCCATAACATTGTCTTTCATGAACAGACGAAAAATATTCAGATTGATTGTCATCTGCAGTCTGGCTCTAGCTCGCTTCCTTTCGTCTCTTCGGCTCTATACTTGCTGACTACTTTACCAATACTTACACCACTGCTCGGTTTCAGTTTCTTCTTAGCAAACTCTCAGTATTTTCTGCTAAAACACCTTGAGTTTGAGAGAGGATGTGAGAATAATATTAGTATATAGTGTTTGGGAAGCCAAAAATTGACCTTTTTTTTACTAAAATCCACAAAAAGACAAAATAGGCTAAAATAGCCAATAAGACAAAATATCCTATCAAACCCATAATCATTTCACTTTCTCTCACAAATATCACATCCAACTAAAAAAAATCTAACCCTCTTCCCAAACACAAATATTTTAGCCTACTAAAATAGCCAAAAACTAAAATAGCCAACTTCCCAAACGAGGCCATTATTATGTGAATACTTTAGATTGATTCGATTGTGTTAAATTATGTGAATATTTTGGTTTAGTTTTATTCTCGTTTCCTATTTAGGATTAGGCCCAGAATTGCTATATATATATATATCAGATGTATACATTGTATTGATACACAATTGAATATACAAAAAAAAACATTCAGAAATCTTACAAAATAAGCCGCATTACTTGGTCCAATGATAAAATCTAGGACTACAAAGTGTGAGACTGAGCACCCTCTTCACAAAAAAATGTTCCTGTTAGATTCATTTCCAAACAATCCCTCCCAGCGCAAAAAAATTTGTTAATAACAGAGTAAAAAGTTTGGTCAGGTTAATAGCACTGTTCCATCTGCTGATTGCCAAAATATGGTGCTAGTGCTTGCAGGAAAGTGGTGGTGGTGATGGTAACAAAGTCATCGAAGCAATATAGAATAATTCATTGCATAACATTGTGGTCCACATTTTCTGCTTAATTGAACAACTTATCTGTCCATCCAAGTCATTCAATTGATAGGCTTTGAAAAACAAGGAGAATTTTAGTAGTGAGGCAACTATTGACATTCTTGATTCATTTTAGGCCATTTTGTGGGTTTCTTGAGCACCAACATGCATTTGTGATTGCTCACTTCTCCAAAAGAAAGGTGTTTGTTACTCCTCCTAAAAGGATGGATAACATAGCAGACAAATGTGAAATTTAGGAATAGTGCATGGCTAGTCCAAAGCATATAGAATATTTGGCGTATGAGCATCTAAAAGAAACATAATGCACGAAATAATTTTTGGGTGAATTAATGTATGAAATAATGAACATTTTAAGCTAACAAAGTAAATGGAATTTTGAACCTTCAAATGATGAACAATTTTTCTGAGGTTCTCCTTGTACTCTTCAGTAGGTACATGTTGCCGTTCACTGGTCCTCCCAAAAAGAGCTGCATCATTAGCTCCAAAAAAGATTGTGGTAGCAACAGGAGGTGTTGCAGAGCCCTGCAAAACAAACCCCAGATGGTAGTCCAGCTGAGATTACAATAAAGATAAAGGTATTGCAGCAGCAATAACTAAATGATTTGTTGGAAACAACTGAATATGTTATGGTCATTGAGAAAGCTTGTAATGAGTGGGTGATTAGCAGCGTAATCAATTTTATATTTCCTTAAATTAAGATAATCAGGAGCTACTAAATTTATTTTTAAACCATAACCAAAAACCCAGCTGAGCTTTCAAGCACCATAAAAATAAAGATTGTAAACATCTCAATATTTTATGGTCATTAACTTGTGAAGAGCAGGTGATGAGCTGCATAATCTATTATATATTTCACTCTTATATCTAGTGACAGAGCCAGAATTTTAACAATTAATCTTTTGTACTACTACATTTAAACTTTTTTACCACACCATAATATAGATTCACTATAAGAAGAACTCCGCTGGTCCTAAGCCCAGGTAAAGGAGGAAGGTTGTGTGTTAAGAAACTGACAACCAACACATAAAAAAGCCGCTCGGATCACTTATGAAATGAGCAAGTAGAGAAGAAGGATTCATATAGCCGATCCCATTTGATGGGACTTTAGGCTTCGTTTGGTTTATAAGAAGATTAGGAAAATAAAACCATGAAACATGTTTACTGTAAATGAGAAGCTAAGAGTTAATAAGATTTATGTTTTCTCCCTCAAAGGAATGGAAGCTAAGTATGCTAGAAATTGAATTAAATTGGCCAAATTAGAGTTTTGATTATTCATTACTTTTCTATACAATGAGTAGGTCTATTGGCAGGACAATTTGAGTTACAACAACAGCAATGTGCAACTATTAGAAGCATCAAAGTTCGTAATTAATTTAGCAATATCCATAACTGCTTTCTCAATAGATCTACCCATCATTATAATAGTAGAAGAAAGATGACCATCGTAAGTATTTAAATGCTCTTAATAAGCATCACTTTGATGACTTAAATAGAGTACCTTAAAATAAAAAAGAAACTAAACCAAATAGCCTCGATTTTTAAATTGAAGAGTTTTGTGGAGTTAATTTAAAAATCACAATAATAATAATAACATAAAATTTGAACTAGCCCACCATTTTTCAAAATTCCAATGGAATCACTTGATGCCACTCAAGTGTATGCAAATCTTAAAAATCATCATAACATTGAAATCTATAGAAATCTCAAGCAATAAGAAAACAATTATATTTTTAGATTTATTTGTGAAGCAAATAAGGGGTCAATTTATGTCCCTAATCGAATTTATTGGATGAAGAATGAAATAAAATAAAGTCATATATAATTTTTCAGGGGAACAATTGAAAACCATTTTCTATACAACAAACTACAAAGTAAATGGGCTGCTCCTCTTGAGATGTTCCATCAAATTTCATAACACATCCTACCAAAGAATTAAACATGAAAAAAGGGGTCATTTTACAATAACAATATACACCCTTTTTGGGTGCATGCTGTATGTAAATTATGATCCAGATTAGATTTGTGTTTGTTGCAAACCATCGTGATGGTTGATTATAGGTCGTTGTGGTAGCAGCACCAACAAAATTGTGAAATTTAAATCGGTTAGTTACAACCCTTATATTGTGTGTTATGCCACAAAGTAATGTTGGCTATGGTCCTATTGCGGTGGTTGTGGTTACTGCTCATCTGGTCATCGATTATGCTGGTGTTACGAAGCACGGGTGCGGGTACGAGTACGGTACGGGTACGAGTGCGGGTACGCCGATTCGGCAAAACTCAAAAAAAGTACGATACGGGTACGGCTATGGTACGCCGATATTTTTTTTTTTTTTTTAAATATAATTTTGATTAAAGAATCCAACCTACAAATTAAAATTAAATATCAAAACTAAAAAAAGAACTACTCATTTTCCTATAATTTAAAACCATTAAGCGTTAAAAATAATATTTGTGAAATCTCTCACTTTGACATGTTATGCACTGTGAATTTGTGATCATAATTTATTTTTAAAATCTTTCTTTTTGCTCATCAATTTGCTATTTTTATAGGGTGAGACCAAAGAAATAACAGGAGACCAAAGAAAGATTTAAAGTTAATTACCAACAGTAAAGGAAAAAAATTCTCAATTGGGGCAGGTTGTCAATTGCAATTTGCATAATACATAAAATTGCATCATTCCCAACAATTACTAATCAACTAATACAGTATCAATTTTTAATGTTTTGTGCATAAACTTTAAAAGTTTGTTATGATTAAAGATTTTATAAAGAAATTCTAAGAGGATCTAAAGCAAAAGCATAATGCATAGTCATACACAGAACTACCCTTTATAGGCCTTGTTATTTTTTTTTGTTCAAATTGCTTTTTAAAAACATTAAAATCATTTGTTGATATGCTTCTACAATTTATACAGACAAACAGGACAACAGAGAAACATCAAAATTACTGATCTGCAAGGGCACCAAAAAAAATAAAAAATAATAATAATAATTGCTAATCTGCAAGGGCAGAAAAAAAAAAAATAAATAAAAAAAATAAATAAATAAATAAATTGGCCCTGGCGTACCCACGCCGTACCCATGGCGTACCCGTGGCGTACCCATGCCGTACCCGAATAAGCCAAACGTACCGGACCCTCTTTTCCCGTACCCGGTACGCGTACCGCCGTACCGGTACGCGTACCCGCACCCGGTAAGTACCCGGTACTCGTACGGCACTATTTTTGGAGTAGCCGTGCTTCATAGATTACCATCTAAAATGGCTAACATCAATTGATCATATTCATCTTTTAGGGCAAACATTTACCTCCATGTAGTTTACTAACTCCATGTGCAGTTTACCCCATGCCATTTGAAAATAACTACATAACCTCCTATACTTGCGGACTAAAGTGCACCATCCGTACCATTAACAACTTAAGCAAAAAAAACTAAAATACACTTGTACATAAGTAACCTCATTATGTAAATCACAAGCATTTTTGTCATTTTTTGGGACTCAAAATTCACTATACCCCTTGTGACATCACTTTCTCTCGCTTCACGCATTTTTTTGGTTCAAAAATCAGATATCTGAACCATGTAATTTTGTTTAGAAGTTGATATCCGAACTAAAAATGTGGTGTAAACTGAGATAAAGTGGTGTGTGGAAATGGAATCTCCAGTTCGTGTGCAGCACAATTGAAAATGAGCATATAACTCCTTATGTCCAAGTAGGCACTTGTTTCACACTAGTGCTAACTTGGACATAATGTTTGACTGTGCATTTCAGTCCCCAAATCACATGGAGTTGTATGTTTATTTTCAAAGGGTAAATTATCAACACGTCCTAATAGGTGGACTTAATTCCCATTAAGTCCTATCAATTCGCCGCTGAAAGTTAGTCCTAACAAACTCATCGCTAAAAACTGATAATTAATGACATTTTTCTAAAAACTAACAATTAGTGATGGTTTTTATAAAAAGGATGCTAATTATCATAGGACCTATTGCGATCCGGGATGGTTTTTATAAAAAGGATGCTAATTATCATAGGACCTATTGCGATCCGGAAGTAATTCCCCATATTTCAAAATTAGAATGAAATTTGTCTTTTTTTCTAATCCAGCAGCTGAAAACGGGTGCAAAAATTATATGATTTGAAGTGTAAATTACAATTTCCAAAAAAATTTAGCGTATTTTCCATTCTGAGTTGGATAGCAAAACATTTGAAACCTCTTCTTTCCCCGGACCGTGTTTCTGCTTTTCAATGCCACTTTTCCATTCCAGATGACGTCCATCTGTCACTTGTGGCAGATAGCGTACTCGACATGGAGAGGACTGATGAGAGTACGATCATCTTTCCTCTCTTGTCAATCGTTGAGGGTATATATATATATATATATAACAAGCGATGTATGTATGTATGTGCTCAATCTCAAGATTATTAGATTATCTTCCTAGAATGCAAGAAATTGAATTGTAAAAGCAAAATGGGGGAACCTTGCGAGAGTAATTGTCAGCGAGAGAAGCACCCCAACCACCTGATCTGAATGATTGTTCAGTGATGGAGTCCCCAAATATCACCATTTGAGGTCTCATTTCACTGCTTGGAAATTGCATTGTTATGAGGGAAAGTTGTATTGTATAGACTATGTGTAGAGAGAGTGATCGATCCAAGGTTTTGGTGTGATTCACCAACATTGCGCCCTTTTGGCGTAACTATTTGAGTTGGATTCTTTTGCCAGTTTTGATGGTTTAATCAGTTCATTTATTTATTAAAAAAATTAAATTAATCTCTTAATTATAATTTATTTAATTTATTATATTTATATAAAAATTAAAAAAAATTATAAATATATTCCTTGAAATTTACATAAATATAAATTATTTTCTGTGATTTAAAAAATTACAGATATTTTCTTGTCAGAATTTTTTATTTAACATAATTAATTGAAAAAATTATGAAATTTATAATTACTCTCCTATACAATAATAAAATTACTTAAATTATTAATTGAAACATATTTCTATATATTAATAAAAAAGTCATTTATTATGAAATTATAAACTTCAAGAGAGTTGATGTAATTTCTAGAACTGTAAGAAACAATTTGTATTTTAAACAAACGTTAGGGGTGTATTTGTAATAAATGACCAATGTGGTTTTTTTTTTTTTTTTGTGTTTTGTCGCAAATGCATAATTGAATAAGTTGATGTGGTAATCCAAAAAATTATAGCTTATTAGAGGTAACCTAAACTAGTCTTAACAATGGGTGCGGCATAAGTAAGGAGTAGGGCTGTACACAATACCATCAAAACCGCTAAAACCGCACCAAACCGTACCAAACCGCACATTTTTTCAACTTTGGTGGGTGGGTTAGGTGGGTGGGGGTGATAGAAGTGGCGGGTCAGCGCGGGTGGCAATTTGAAAATCCCAACTCGCTGAGTACCCTGACCCGACCCGCAACTTAATTCTGCTATGCTATATACACATCCAGCAACCATTAGATTACATCTACCATACTAAGTGTAGATATACTCACATACATAGAATAATTTCTCAATTAAACCTAATTGACTCCTGTGGAGAAGTGGTTTGGAAATACTCCAGGATCCAGTCAGACGTCCTTGATCCTCTGATTGCTACCTGAAAAAGGGATGAACACTCCGGTCGGGGGTGCTGGAATTAGCACTCCGACGGACAAGTTAGTATGCTCTCAAGTTTACTTCTATCTCAAGTTATTCTATCTACTCTCACACATCTCTCTTTGGTTGGCGTTCCTCTTTTTATATTACCCTTTGGGCCCAAGAGTCAGGCCCACTTTCAATCTCGCATTTGATTGCTTACTCGGCCTTCCGATTGCGTGCTGGTTCCCATTCGGCTCTTCATATGGCCGATCTGTATATTCGGCTTCAAGAGCCTTAGATTATAGCCGAATTGACTTCGGCCAGATGCCTTCAAATATCTTGGCCTTCCTCAATATATAATTGTTCGGCCGCCACAATTGCCCCCAAACATCCGACTAACACCAATTAGTTGGCATGTTTGGTTTTAATTTATGGAAAGTCAAAAATACGGCGCTTGCACTCCTTCCAATATCGAAGCGTCAGAACGACCATGGTTTAGAAATCATTACAATTTTTCGTCCCTCCGTACGCGTTATTCATTTAATGCGATATGAAGTTGCGTTGTCCCTTCGAATTTTTTTTTTGAATTTGCAAAGCTCTTTCGACTTCACGACCTCTGCAACTTCCATCTGCTCCCCATTGTCCTTTTCTCGCTACCTTGTAAGTCCTTCTCTTCCTTGCATTTCTTCCGCATTCCAACTCCCATTTTCTTATTTATTTTTAATTTAGCGTATTTTCCATTCTGAGTTGGATAGCAAAACATTTGAAACCTCTTCTTTCCCCGGACCGTGTTTCTGCTTTTCAATGCCACTTTTCCATTCCAGATGACGTCCATCTGTCACTTGTGGCAGATAGCGTACTCGACATGAAGAGGACTGATGAGAGTACGATCATCTTTCCTCTCTTGTCAATCGTTGAGGGTGGAGTCTATTTCCCCCTTCATTCATTTTTTAGGGCCGTCCTTCGTCACTGGGGTCTACTCTTTTCACAACCTAACGTAAACTTTTACCGAATCATAATGGGAATAGAAGAATTAAACCGCCAACTTAGGATTAATCTAGGAATCCCTGCTATTCAGCATTGTTATACCTTGGCAAAATCATCTGGTTGACAGGGACGTTACTTTCTCAAAGCCAAGGACACTGATCACCATCTGGTGACTATGCTTGCCAACTCTGGTAAGTGTGTTGACGACGTCATAGTCATTGTCCGAGGCAACTGGGAATTTGGCGAAGGCGAAGATTGCCTAGATCATGTTCCTAGACAAAAAGGCGAACCAGGTGGCCATATAGTCCCATTTCTATGCGCATTTGTTATACGTTTATTCAGCTTAGATTGCATGTACTTATCGTTTTATTTGTGCAGGTAACGATCTGAAAAAAGTACTTATCTCGGCTGACGACACTGTGCTTGGGCAAATCAAGACTGCGCTCTAATTCTTCAGCCGTCCAAACCTCCAAAAGCAAAGGAGGGCCGCCCACATCCTATTGCAATATGAGCCAACATATGTTATTTTTTTTACCGCGGATCACATTTCTATTCCAAAGGGCAAACAGTGGCCCACGACACTTATTTTCCCAAATTTCAAGAACCTTAGGGAGATTGGTCTTGAAGTTTCGAATTCAGAGCAGGTTGCCGAGCAAGTAGCCGAACAAGTCATTGAACAGCCAAATCAGTCTAACTTGGAAAAATCTGATAATTTAGGGAAGGAGGTTGATGCGACCCTTAATTTGGCCTTTGAGGAAGCCGGCTTCAACTTTTCGTCCACTTCAGGCTGAGTCAACGTATCATTAGAAGACGATATTTTCATCAATTTAGGAGACCTTCCCGGCACAAATCCTAAGAACATGACTGGGAAGTCACTTGCGCAGATGGCCAGAAGAAAAAATGCAGAGAAGATGGCAGCCCGAAAGAAGGTCGAAGCCTCTAAGTCTGAACCCCCACCATCTGCTCCTGTTGTGGCTGTGTTTTCTCCGCCTGCTCTTGTTGATGAAAAGGAGCAAATTGTTATGGCCGAAACGGAGCAAATTGTCATTGATCAATCGAACAATCTGGTGGCCGAACAAAGGGGGGAGAAACGGCCCGCTGAGCACAAAGTCAACTCTTCTGAAAACCAAACTGATAAACAGCTGTGCATAGAAGAGTCGTAGGACTTGGCTTCATCGTTTATCATACAACCTAGAATAAAGAACATGTCAGTTGCTTCTAATGCTTCATCTTAGAAGGACACCGTCGTGGCCTTAAGCGTGGCCTCGTCGATTTATCTGCCAATTGACAAAGCAGTGTTCCGTGCATAGCCAAATGTGGTGTCAATAGCATTAGCCACTCAATCGGCGATATTGGTACGTAACTTTGAAAAAATATTTCATTCATTTTTATGCTTGCTATCTTATTAATCTTTTGTTTATAGGCAGCGGGCAGGATCGCAGAAATCGGCTGCCGTCATTATGACGTTATCGAGCAAATACTCAAAGCAGAACTCGAAACTGAAAAGGGCAAGGTTGAAGAGGCCTCTTTTAAAGCCGAATCCGAGGTGAGAAAAGTGGTAGAAGAGTGAGCGAGGGCCAATGCCGAGGAAGAGAAGACCAAATGCTCTGATCAACTTAGGTTGGCCGCCAAAGAAAAGGCGAACGCGAGTGATGATGCACTCAAGTTGGCCAAGGAAGTGATTGCCAAACTGGAGGCTGATTTGGAAGGATCAAAGAAGGCAAAAGAAATCGCCGTCTCTGAGATCTCCAAGCCATTCCAAGCCGGAGAAAACGCTGCCTTAGAAAAATACGTGGATGAAGTATCCAAGTTCGAAAATCGGGGCTTCAAACGTGGGTGGCTCAGCGCCCTGGCTACCGCTAATGTGACATTGGAGCAGCCAATTCCATACGAACAACTAGAGGTTAAGCCGCTGCAGTCTGACCCTGAAGAATAAGTAGTGTCAATGTAATTTTTCTTTTTGTTTAGTGTTTTCTGTACGTAGTTTTTGTAGATTTTTGCTTATTTATTTTGTTTGTACTCAATTTATTAATGAAAATCGCCTTTTTGTCTGTCTTCTGCATGTGCTAATTAATAGCTAAGTAGGGTGATATAACTTAATTCGGCGATAACATAATCGGCTAGAACATAATCTTTCTGCATGTGCTAATTAATAGCCAAGTAGGGTGGTATAACTTAATTCGGTGATAACATAATTGGTTAAAACATAATTTGCTGAATTAAATATACGGCTTAATGCCATACTCGGCTAGCCAAGTGGGATGATGTAATCATATGGACAAGTCGTTCCAAAGTCGAATAATCATGTCTTGTGTCAATTTTGAACATTGAAGAGTCGAATAAAACATACAGCTTGCAACGTCACATTGAATCAAATATGTCGATCATATGGGGTATTGTTAATATATTTATCAATAGAAGCTGAATAGATTAATGAATCTGCCCTTACTGTAATGACTCGGATTCTGATTCGTATTGGATTGGTGTAAATTAGTACCCGTCACCTTAAAACTTGTATAGTTTTCGGACTCGTGGCATTGATGGGTTGGAAAGTGAACTCTAAATATTATAATTGACGATCCTTGGGGGATGTTTGGAACCTTGATTGAAGCCTTAACAAGGTATTTAGGCAAGATTAGATCAAAAGCCCTAAATTTGAGTTCCTATTTTTGACCAACCTTTACTTTTTATCCCTTTTCTCCTTTCATACTTTGAATTTTAATGTGAGGCTGTAACCATTGGAAAGCTTGTTTCCGGGGCTTCGATTTGGACATAAAAACGATCTAGAACGGAGTCCGAACGAGAGAGTTATACCTGTTTGAATTCTTGGTACCTTTGTTGGTTTTCTATAGGGTCGACACCAGTCTGGGAAGGGTTGACCCCCTTATATTGCAGAATTTCTGTGTTAGTAGCTAAAAATTAGGGTCGACCCCTCCTGTCTAAGGGTCGACCCCCCTTGCTTGTGCCAGATTGTCTTTTCTACCTAAAGAGTCGACACCTCTGCCCGAAGGGTTGACCCCTGCATGTTATTTCCAGAATTTTTGGGTCCGAATGGGCCCTACTTTTGGGGGTTTTGGGCTTTTTCTTTGCAATAACCTTAGGGCTACTTTTCTACTAC